AAATACCTGTACACTCCAGGATTTGTGTTTAACAGTTGGTGATAGATATATCAAAGGAAATTTCCTAATCACTGTGACACAGAATTTGACTTTATTGTTTAACACTATTCTTTAAAACATTTTTTTTACTATCTATGGCAATTTATTAGTAACTAGGGATTACAGTTAAAAGTAATCCTCAATTATTGAGTGCCTTTTTTTATCAATGTTCGAAGTTATAATGGTGTAAAAAAAAAAAAGCTTTGCGATCAATCCTCACATTTATAACAATTGCAACATGATCACAATTAGTGTGTTTTGCAACTGACTGTTGTGGCCCACTGGTGGCCAGCGGACCTAGCAGCAGAGTCAAACATTGAGGAGGTTAGGGAGGAAGGTGGGCCAATCCTGGGGGCTGGGAAAAACTCAGTTGAGGGCTCTGCATCGGAGGTAGAGAGGGAGTTAGACAGCAGTGAGGCAGAGGAACAGCTGGAGCCCATTCCCAGTGTGCGCATGCACAGAGCTGCCAGAAGACAAGAACAACTCAGAAACCAGGGTCGACTCGGGAGTAAAGCCACACCTTGGAGGTGATTGGCCCCTCCCATAGGAAATAGAAGAGGAGTGAACAGGGAGTCGGCTTTTGCAGGAAACAATTCGTTTGTTCCGTGATTCTGAGAGACTCTGTGCCAAGTTTTGCCTTGTACTGCGGTTGGAAACAAGTTACGTGGCAGCTTGACAAACAAGATAAGGTGTGTTGAGAAATATTCCTTTGAAAAACTGTTTGGACAAACCTTGCTGACTGTGAATGAACGTAATTCACAGTCATGTAAATAAAGAGGTTTTGCAGGGACCAATTCCTGTCTCCTGCTTGTTAAGGGAGCCTAGGTCAGAACACTGACAAGCAGTCAATAGAAAGGAGAAAGTAAAGTACAGTCATGGAAATGTGATGTTCCCCTTAACACCGTGATGGCGAACCTATGGCATGTGTGCCACTTTGGAGCCATGTTGCTTGGCACATGTGGTGTCGCCCGTTTCTCTTTTGAGTTTTTGGCACGCATGCGCACGGAACAATCAGCTGGCCTTCGCACGTGAAGTGCTCCCTTTTTGGCACTTGGTGCTGCGTGCGTGCATGCGTGCTCCCTTTTTGGCACTCGGTACCGAAAAGGTTCGCCATTAGGTTAGGTTCGCAGTGGCTTTATCAATTACAATTGCTTAAATGATCAAATGGGAAGTGAAGACAGAATCCCCTAACAATCACATGATTTTCCAGAATGGACATGTTAAATTTGATACAGAACTTGAACATGTGTAAATTAAAAGGAGAAAATTGGTGCTCTAAATTCACCCCTCTCCTTTTTTTTCTTTGCTTTATTCATAGGCAAAATGGCCTTCCTAAGGTCCCTTCTTATTGGCCCTTCTATTAATTCTCAGAAAATGCTGCATCTAAATCAGCAATAAAAAACTTGGAGACCACAAAAAAAGTTTGAAATCAATAGTTCGGCAACTACACTCAAGCTTTACAGCTTCCTTAAAAAGCATAGGAGACCAAGTTAACAGGCGGTAATATGTAACTGCACCTCAGCTGATTGAAGAGAAAGATATTAGCCAGTGTAATTTCAAGGTCTACTGACTAAAAAAATTATATTAATTTACTGAATTTATCAGGCATCTTGACAGAGTCTAGAGATCAGAGGTAATTAAAGACTCCTTTGTTGGAATATGCTCATATAAACTCTCTGAATAGGGTCTTTAAGAAAACTAACCTTGAAACTTATAACCAATCCTCAAAGTTGTGGACATTGTAGCAGCCTCCTGGTCAAATGATCATGATCTGGGCACTCATGTGCCTAGCTTGCAATTATGATGTTGCAATGAGCTATGGTCATATGATCACAATTTGCAACCTTCCCTGCTGGCTTTCCACAAGCAAAGTGAATAGGAAAGCTGGCAGGAACACTGCAAGTCACTCTAATAAATTTTGACTTTTTGTTGGACAAAAATAAAAGCTCATTATTCTTACTTCTTTGACTATGCGCCTAGACTTATATAATTGACTGAGCATTTGCCAATCACATATAAATTATGGTTATATTTAGTTCAGTACCAAGGTTCAGATAAAACCTGCTCATATTCTCTTTCCTGAATCATTTAAAACGTTTATAAATACTTTCTATCCTGCAAATTAAATCCAGACCAAATTATTTTACTGATAATCAAAGCTATCCTATATAGATATAGATACACAGAGATAGACGAAATAATTCGCAGGATTTCAATATTTATACTATGAACTAGTTTGTTGATAGAAATATTTATCTTAATATCTTAAGCTATGAGGTGCAAAAACGTAACTTTGCAATAAGCCCTTGCATTTACCAGTATGATTATTGCAATGTTCCCTTATTCATATGATTGACATTCAGGCACTTTGCAAACAACAGTTTTTTACAACTGTCACAATTTCCTGCGGTTAGATGTATACCATTTGCAAGCTTCACAGCCAGCTTTTGACAAGCAGAATCAATGGAGAATCCAGCAGTAAAATCGTAAGTCACAGTCACATGATGTCTCCCTTCACAGTCACATCACTTAGCAATGGATTTGCCAGTCCCAATTGTAGTTGTTAAGTGAGGACTACTTATATGGCTCCTCAAATCTTCTGCAAGAAGCTTCAGAACCTGCAGGATCTGCATACAATGAATCTTGTTTCAAGATAATTAAACAACTGTGTCTTTTCCCAGGCTCAGGCAATCACTTTGAATGTGGGTGGGTGGGTGTAAATAATAAGCTTTTAATTTACTATAACTATCCAAGCGCAGAAATACTCAAATTATGTATACAAGTAGTCTTTGACTTATAATCATTAGTTAGTGACAGTTCGAAATTACAACACTGAAAGAAGGGGCTAAAGACACAGCAAGAATTATTTGGTGAACATCAAAATTTATCATGCTTGATTTCACAGATCTCTAGAATAAAAAGTGACATCAAGATAGAAAGGTTTTTAAGACAAATGATAGAATTTGAAATGCTTATACAGAACCGAGATAGGTCTGGTGTGTACAGACACAGACACACATATATACTATACTGTATATAGACATTGTTATTAAAATCTTATACAGAGACAGAACAAGTAAGACTATGGAAGAGTGGATGGAGATGGAATTTACCTTAAGCTATAATTAAGAAAAAAATTGTATTAATTGTTTTACAGATTGTACATAGTTCCAACCCATAATTGCAAAAATAGATAAATCATAATAAATGCTTGAAATGTAATACAAAGGAATATTTTGTCAGATTTTATGTAAAAAAAATCAAAAGTACTAGAAATAAATACACAGCATTATTTTTATAAAAAAAATTAAAACAAAGTTTGAATTGATAACTCATCTTTTTTCTACTAGGAACTTTTCCAGAACAAATATTTTTTAAAAATATTAAGAGACATGCTGAAGGCCACACAGGGAAATTTAGCCCAACATTGGGGAAGTGACAATTAGCTGACAATATCATATACTCAGAAACCAAACTAGGAGAATACCTACTAATGGCAAAAGTAAAAGTATAGCTCTAGAACATACGGTAAGTTTGATTAAATTTAAAGAAGAATAGCTTCTGTAAATATTACATGTAATATAACAAGGCAAACTCAGATACTTAGGATTTGGTTTTTATGGGAGAAATATTTAATGTAAAAATAGTGGAGGCAATTTTAATATTTATAATTTGTTGTATTCAACAGTGGAGAACAATAAAAGGAAATCTAGAACTTAATACTGTATTTACTTATGTTTTACCGGTAGTATTTAATATTTATTTATTTTATTTTTCTATTAGATCATGCACATTTATTTCAGATAATAGTGGCAACATCCATACTGTATAAATTTTAATGTTTAGAGGTTTGTAATGATTGCAAGTATCTCATGTGATATAATTAGTTTATATATTCATTTAATCAAAGAAATAACAATTTTTAAATTTTGTAACTATGAATTTTGTTTATTTACTGATATTTTATTTTCCATCCACATATTTCTTTCTTTTTCTTTTATATAATCATTTATTTTATACTTTAAATGTTTTTTAAAATACAAATATTAGGCCTGCTGTTTAATGTGATATTAACTGTGTAATGGGGTGAGCGCCCATTACTTGTCCCAGCTTCTGCCAACCTAGCAGTTCGAAAGCACGTAAAAAATGCAAGCAGTAAAATAAGGACCACTTTGATGGGAAGGTAACAGCGTTCCGTGCGCCTTTGGCATTTAGTCATGCTGGCCACATGACCACGGAGACGTCTTCGGACAGCGCTGGCTCTTAGGCTTTGAAACGGAGATGAGCACCTCCCCCTAGAGTCGGGAACGACTAGCACATTGGGGCCACCCCAGGCATTCTAACCTCCTTGGGAGGACCCAGCATTGAAGTGCAAAGCAGCCACTTTGGAAGCCCCAATAGCATGGCGTGAAGCCATAGCATGGTGTGACGCCATAGCTCAGCAGGACAGCACAAAGCAGCCCCTTCAGAAATCCCCCGATGCCCTAGAAAGTTCCAGTACAACAATATAAAGACACTGTTCTGGACACCTTTGCCACTCTGCACTCTGCCACCGCAGCTGACCTTTGCTGTCTTCTTGCTCCTGCTGCTCCTGCTGCTGAGGTTTGCTCACCTGGCCCTTCATGAGGCAACTGCTTTATGCTGACACATAAAGTCAGATTTACCAGTCTTTTGAGGAAATTCCCATGCATGACCTGGAGAAGAAAGCCTCATGCAGCCAGCAACTACCTCATAAAGGGCCAAGCAAGGCATGCTTGGTAAGCAGTGGGAGCAAGAAGACAGTGAAGGTCAGCTAGGGAGGCAGACAGGGGGCCAAAAGGGCGTAGATGAGAGAGATAGGCAGGTGAGGGGGAGTTGAACCATCCCTGCAGTTGTAAATGCAAGCCAGCTGTCAAGCAACTAACAATTAGGTTACATGACTACAGGAGTGCTGCATCAACCACAACTTTGGAGACTAGTTTTAAGTCTCTTTGTTCATTGCCGCTCTAACTTTGATTATTGAACAAATAATCATTAAGTCAAGTGCTACCTGTATGTAAAGGTAAAGTTTTAGACATACTCATTTACTCAAACATAGGTTGAACTATGGAGATAAGGAATCAATTAGATTTGGACAAAATTATTTTACAGTTTATATAGAGAATAGGTTTCCATGTTATTATTTATGCAGTACCTGATTTGATAAAAAAACATTTTATCGAATTCCTCTAATTCTTTTTAAATGTTTTCTTTTTTCATTTAGAATCAGAACTCTGGGGCCAGGATCAATTGCTTTGAAGCTAACGCCTGCAAAAGCAAACTGGTACAAGAAAAACTAAGCATCCTTATAACTATTATCCAATCTATCCAATTAAGATAAGAGAAGTAGGAAAATGCCCATAGAAACTTAACTTTATGTGCAAGGAAACAAAATGCACACTGGGACAAAAATGCTGATTATACCCATACTTTAAAGTAGAACTGAACTTCAATTGACTCTTTCAATGAATTTAAGGTTTGGTACAAAATGTTTTGTGGGAAAAGACATGCTATTTCTTCTTCAACAAACTTTGACATTAATCATGTCAAAGTTTAATATCTGTATCTCATCTTTTTTTAGATCACCAGAACAAGACTTTTCAATTAGATCGCATTCTTAAAAAAATATTCTCATAATCACAAGTTAAATGAGTGATTTGAGTGAAAAGCTGCATACATCTCTTGTAGAATTAATTTCTGAATTGAATTTCAGAATTTAGTTATATACTGGATTTAATGACATTGATTTTAATTTGTCTATTAATTCTAGTCCTACTACTGTACTTGTAGCACAATTCATATTTACTCATTGATAAAATCCCATCATATGCAATTTTACTTAGCAGAGTGTATGTTGAATTTTAACTTTTTTTATACATCATGGTCCCTTCCCTAAATCTTTTTCAATGGCAATCCACATAAATACTGCACTATCATTTTAGATTTCCAGTAGTGAATTGCTGACATTTCTGCTTTGCCTTAATTATACAACTGTTGTATATTGATAGCAATTAAAAAGTACATGTCCATTACAATAAAATGCTTGTTTTCCAAATTTAAACAAATTGCCACTTTTTAAAAATGTCTTTTATACATTATTATATTACTGATTCTGCTTTTCATAATTTATTGTGTGTTTTTCTATACAATACTGCTTTCAAAAAAAGGCAAGTATCCGATTCTCTCATTCAACATCCTTTTAATTAATCTACATTTTTAGTTGTTGCCTTTTGTAATTCAATATCTCTGCATTAGCTTTACTGGACCATTTTCATTCATATTTTGAATCTGATAGTAATCAAGATAATGATTTCTCATCTTTTCCATTACATGTGCTTCTCATGCTATAACCTAAAGACAATTCAAAATGAAGCTCAAGACTGCCTTTCTCTTAAGTTTTATAGAGTCTATACATAAGTAGAGTGTACTTATTCTTCACGATACACTCAACACATGGCCTTCTTAAAATTGCTGTTGATATGTACAGATTCAACTGATGATGCTTTTCACTTTTCTAATGTGCATTAATAATTTTGGTACAGAGAATTGTGCGTATTTATCTTCATCTTGCACAAGGTGGATTTGATTTAAATCAAGTTGATTTAAATCATGATTTAAATCACTAGTAAAAAGGCTTGATTTAAATCAACTCAATTTAAATCATAATTTTTAAAGAGCAACTGTCATCTCTATCATGCAGTAACTCCTCCTCTGATTTGCTGTTGACTCACCACAGTCCCATTCACTTTAATGGGACAGCTAGTGATGCGGCAGTGACACAACAAAGTGAAGCAGGTGAGTGGATGCCCGCTAACAGGCACTGCCATGATGGATCTGAAATGACAGGTGCTCTTTAAATGTAAGGATTCATTCTTGCTGGTAGTTAGAATCTTTAATATTATTATTTGCAAACAAAATGAAGGTTTCCTATTTAGCTTGCAGAGCTTGGATTCATTTAATGAGTTTATCAAAAATGTAAATATTGCAGAATATACAGCCTCATGCTACATAACTAAACTCCATTTCATGCTGAATAAACTAAATTATTAATTATCTTAAATAGAAAACTATCTTTAGATAGATTTTTACTCCAAAAGCATTTTACTAAATTTGATAAAAATAAAAAAAATCCAATTTAAATTTTAAAAAATCCAATTTAAAAATTCATTTATTTTTATTTTTTAAAAAAATCATCGATTTTTATCCACCCTGATTTTGCAACACTGGTTTGGAAATTTTTTTCCCACTAAGAAGGTCTGTTCCTCTCTCGCTGGAGTATCAGTGTTTTTAAACAGGATTTTTTCAAAAATCTGTGAATAAGTAAGCTTTTTTAGAAAAATACACAAAGTACACTTGCATTGTAAATGTTACAATCAATGTGTGAAATTAGGCATTTTATAGAATGCCTAGGAAATCTATAAATTCCAAAAATGGGACATCAAAGTATGAAACCCTTAATATTTCACACATTTCCTAGGTATTTTATGCATTACCAAAAGGTAAACCAGCAAAGTATAAAATACTCCCACTAAAATGCCATCCTAGCCACTTTTGTTGCAACAAATAGGTTAAATACTGGTCCTTTTCTTCTTGCTTATTTCAGTAAGAAAGTGCTGTACTTTATTTCGCATTTCTTCTTTCATTTTCATAACTCTTTTTTAATACTCTGCCTAAATAAATCTTGTCATTCTGCACAATGTCTAGGTATTATATACAATGCCTAGGGAATGGATATAGTCATGATGGCGAACCTATGGCACAAGTGCCACAGGTGACACGCAGAATCCTCTCTGTGGGCACATCAGCCGTTGCCCCAACCCAGCTCTACCACGAATGCATGCGCGCCTCTCGCCGGCCAGCTGGTCTTTGGGTCTCTGCCACACATGCACAGGGCGCAAGTGGGGAACGCTTGTGCATGCGCAGAGGACAGGGTGCAAGCACAGGGCGGGGCGCATACGTAGAGGGAGCATGAATTGCATTTTGGGGGTTCGCATGCATGTTGCCCCCTGTGCCCCATTCTGGACCTGGAAAGCCTCCTGCACCAAACTGGAAGCCAAAACGAGGCACGGGGGGGGGCTGGGATGCATGTGGGGGGACGCTCGTACAGGGGTGAAATCCAGCAGGTTCTGACATGTTCTGGAGAACCGGTAGCAGAAATTTTGAGCAGTTTGGAGAATCAGGAAATACCACTTCTGGCTGCTCCCAGAGTGGGGTGGGAATGGAGATTTTGCAACATCATTCTTCCAGGAGTGGACACGGAATGGGGATTTTGCAGTATCCTTCACCTGGAGTGGGGTAGGAATGGAGATTTTGCAGTATCCTTCCCCTACCATGCCCACCGAGCCACGCCACGCCCACCAAGCCACGCCCACAGAACTGGTAGTAAAAAAATTTGGATTTCACCACTGGCCATGTATGCGCGGGGGGGTTCTCATTGCATTTTGTGGGTTCGGGCACGCGTGCTTGCATTTGTGCGCATGCACGCGTGCTTTGGGCACTCGGCATCAAAAAGGTTAACCATCACTGGGATATAGCATATTAAAATAACCCAGACATTTCATACTTTGCCTAAAAATTTACATTCTATAGATTTCCTAGGCATTCTATACAGCGCCAGCTTTTCACATATTGCCTGTGACATACATATAACTTCTCTGTTTATTGGGTGTGACAAGTTGAAATGAAGTTTAAATCAATTTTCTCTGCTTTTTTCTTTGAAGGAATTTAATCATGGAATATTTTTCAAGCTTTTTAAATTATCATCACTTTCCTTCACTTTCACAATAAATTTATTTCACAGAACAATCACATGTCTGTTCATGAGACCCTTTTACTTCAAAGATAGTTATTCCTAACTAAATTCAGCTTACTGCCTCATTCATATGCCAAGAGAAAGATCAAGTATCTGTAATTGAAACATGACAGAAGAATAGGATAAGCATGTTTGCTTTTATTTACAGATATATATATATATATATATTAAATTTGATTTATATGCCGCCCTTCTCCGGAGACTCAGGGCGGCTTACAATGCGTTAAGCAATAGCCTTCATTCTTTTGTATATTTTATACAAAGTCATCTTATTGCCCCCACAAACTGGGTCCTCATTTCACCTACCTTAGAAAGGATGGAAGGCTGAGTCAACCTTGAGCCTTGGAGAGATTCGAACCAGCAGAAATTGCAGGCAGCTGTGTTAATAACAGGGTGCACTAAACCACTGTACTATCAAGGCTCTTGATATGATTAAATGATTGTTTTGATGGACAGAGAAAGGACTGTAATCATTATTGGAATTTAGAAAAAACAGTGGGGTGAAATTTAAAAATTGTAAGAAAAAAATGGCAGCTTCTATACCAATCTGCATGGATAAAAGAAGGACATGTCAAAAGACTATCAGAGAAATTGGAGAAATGAAGAACAGGAGAACAGAGAATATTTTCCTAAGATCTCCATAAGAAATCTGATTGAAACTATCTAGAAAATACACGCATACAATTTTTTTGTAGAACTATAGACACCATTTACTGAAGATTTCAGAAAGGTTCTGAAAAAGTTTGATGTAACATTACACTACTGAGTCAGTGATCTTCAAATCAGTCTAAGCCTGGTTCCTAACACTGCAGCTCAGTTTATAGTGTCTTTCCAAATGGGTTATGTATCAGCTTTCTATAGCTCCTCCACTACAGATCGGAAATTTTGTTAGCATCTCTAGCCAGACTGAAAGTATTTCCTTCTGCTGTTTTGCTGGAGTATTATAAAACTACTTCTCTGTAGTCAGATACATATTTCTTGGAGACAGCTCCTTTTACAGGAAATTACAGAGGACATTTATTCATTCTAACCTGAAGTAATTCCCTACATAACTACTTTTTGTCACTTCTATCCCACCATTATGTGAATATATTGTCCCACGTTTGCCCAATTTTATGCCTCTAAATAAAAGGGATGCGGTGGCTCAGTGGCTAAGACACTGAGCTTGTCGATTGAAAGGGCAGCAGTTCAGCGGTTCGAATCCCTAGTGCCCCGTAACGGGGTGAGCTCCCATTAGTTGTCCCAGCTTCTGTCAACCTAGCAGTTCGAAAGCACGTAAAAAATGCAAGTAGAAAAGTAGGGACCACCTTTGGTGGGAAGGGAACAGCGTTCCGTGCGCTTTTGGCGTTTAGTCATGCCGGCCACATGACCATGGAGACGTTTTCGGACAGCTCCGGCTCTTCAGCTTTGAAATGGAGATGAGCACCACTCCCTAGAGTCAGGAACGACTAGCACATATGTGTGAGGGGAACCTTTACCTTTACCTTTTATGCCTCTAAATCAGGGGTGAAATGCTCCTGGTTCGGACCGGATCACCCGATCCGGTAGCGATGGAGGTGGGTGGTTTGGAGAACCGGTAGCAAAAATCCCTCCCCACTCCCATGCCCAGCTGACCTGCGCAATCATCAGAGGTTTTTTATT